GAAAATGAACCGAACTAATTTGACCTGAACCCGACCTGATCGGAGTCCAACCATCAAAATGACATGACATGATATGCATCCAATTTTACTTGACTTAACAGAATCCGATTGAAACTTGAACGATTATCTGATTTTACATCCATAACCCGAGATTCGCTTTTAACACATTATCCACTCGCTATGGTTGGCAATTGCAGACCAACCTTCAACTGCCAACCTGATGAAAGTAGTCCCGACTCGGTTTGATTTTGATAGAGTGGGTAGAAATTTTTTTCTGCCCTTAGAGAACCTTAATGATGGGTTGTTAGGATTTGAAAATACGACCTGATTGAGCATTGGAGGGGGGCGATTTCATTAAAGCTCAACACTTGCAGTACTAATAAAATTGCCAAATGCCTAATTGTGTAAAAAAAATGAAATACAACTAATTAAAAAGAAAACCTCTCACTGATGGAATCAATGAGTATTCTAAAGGTATAAAGAAAGCAACGGTCCTCGAAGGAAAAAAGATGAGAGAAGGGAGGAGAGCATTGATGGTATCCAAACTGGTCTGACTTGGGAATTAGGGTTGTTCTATGTTTAAATCATGAGAAACGCAACGGATGGTGTTTGCAATTGTTTTGCAATTCATTTTTCTATTATTTATTATATTATTTGATGTGTTCTGGTTGTTGATTTTGGTGGTCCTTTGAGTCTTGCGCTGGAATCAAAAAAGAAAAAAATAATAATAATTCCAGAGCTATATTTGTGTCGTTTTGAAGAAGATGGAGAAGACTATGGGTTTGAGGAATTGGAAGGAAAACTAGAATTAGAATCAAAGAGTGAGATTGGAGTCAAATGTGGTACTTTGATCTGAATGTATTGTCAGAGGCTGTGCTTGAGAATTAAGACTCATAGGGTCCTACCCCATACGTAACCAGGCGATAGGACGAGAGATTCGATACAAAATTAGGCTTCAAGAGGACCACGATGAAACCCGTCGACTACGCAATCTCATTGTGTTTTATGTCGCTTTTCTTATTTGCATGCTTTCTGAAAATTGAATAAACTTAAGGTCAAATAAGGAAATTAGTTAAGGGGGAAAAAGAGAAACAATATGCTATGGGTATGTACATCATTTAAAGATTATCACTACTTTTTTTAAAAAAAAACGATAGAAAGATTATTTTTTATTTTTTTAATGATATTAATGTTATATGCATGTGCTGATACGTCTTCTATATTTAACTATAAATTTAAGAAGTATACATATTTAATATTCAGAATTTTCAGTTCTAAGTATAGATTTTTTTTGGATAAGTATAATTTTATTACCCAATAGAAATGGTTCATCATACAACTGTCATCCCAATTGGGAGTATAAACACATATTTACAGAATTAGTCTATACCCCAATAATTATAAAGTCTAGAATTAACATAGTCTAGTCTATTAAAACCTTTGGCACTGAGTTTGAAACGAACAAGCTCCTTAATAGCCTTTAGAAGTTGGTCTGTTGTTCTTGTTCCTCTGTTGAAAATTCTTCTGTTTCTCTCCTCCCAAATGAAGTATATGAAAGCAGTCCAGGCGATCCTCAATATAGTAGAAATAAGAGATTTGCCCTTCCAAGTTTGAGCAGCCCAATGAAGCCTTGAATCCCAAGACCAGTAAGTATCTCTCATGCTAGATAGATTCATAATAGAATGCCATAGTGAAGTAGCGTAAATACAGTCAACAAACAAATGATTTCTAGATTCATGGTCCTGATTGCACAAAATACAATAACTATCAGTCACAATACCCATTTTAATAAGTCTATCACGAGTAGGAAGACGATCCAGAATTGCCATCCAAGAGATAATGCTTAGCTTTGGGATGTGTAGTGGAAACCAAATCACCTTATGCCAGAAAACTTTGTCTCTATGAACTCTTATATTTTCCCATAAATCTTTTGTTTTCGTGGCACCAACAGTTAAATTTGGATAGGCTTCACTTTTTATTTTCATCAATTTTCTGATGGTCCAACTGTGGGAAGAATTAACATTAATGTCGTTAAGATCATTATTTTTAATAACATAGCAATGGATCCAAGCAACCCATAGAGAGCCCTCTCCAGCCATTATTTTTCGTATTAGTTGCAACATGCAAGCTTTATTCCAGGAATGAATGTTCTTCAACCTGAGACCTCCTTCAAATTTAGGACAGCACAGTCTATCCCAGCTAATCCTAGCACCTTTAGCAGCAGTACCATTACCTTTCCAAAGAAACCGAGAGAAAAGTTGTTCTAGACGATTGATAACTTTCTGAGGAAGGATAAATTGCCTATTCCAGAAGTTAACAACACTGTATAGAACAATTTTAATAAGCTCAAGACGACCAGCATAGCTTAAAATTTTACCAGACCAATGGTGAAGCCTACGAATAATATTATCGTAGAGAGGTAGATAGTCTTTTTCAGTAAGCTTCCGAGTAACTAGAGGAACTCCTAGGTACCTAACAGGCAGGAAACCTTGTTTGAAGCTAGTGACAGATTTAATGGAGTCCAGGGTTCTATCAAGAATACCAACCGCGTAAAATTCTGTTTTGTTAACATTGAGGTTCAGACCAGATAAAACATAGAAATGGTTTAGAACACTTGTCACTCCAGCAATAGAATCAAGATTGCCTTTGCAAAAGATTAAGAGGTCATCAGCAAAAGATAAGTGAGTAATACCAAGTTTTTTGCATTTAGGGTGGTATCCAAAAATACCTCTAGCTGCAGTAAGATTGAGAATTTTAGAGAGGGTATTCATAGCTATCACAAAAAGGATTGGAGATAAGGGGTCTCCTTGTCTAATACCTCTCTGACCCTTGAAGTACTCTATTAGACTACCATTAAAAGATATGGAATATCTAGCTTCTTTGAAGCAAGTTTCAATCCATTTAGTGAAAATGGGAGGTAGTCCAATGGCTCTAAGAATGGAGGAGATGAAATCCTAGTTAAGGGAATCAAAGGCTTTTTGTAAGTCAACTTTAAGGGCACATCTTGGAGAAATATTCCTTCTACCATAGCCTTTGACCAATTCTTGAGCAAGGAGGGTGTTGTCAATGATAGATCTACCTCTCACGAAAGCGGTTTGATTGAGGGATATAATGTCAGGCAACAACAAATTCATTCTTTTGACTAGGATTTTACTAATAGTTTTGTAGACTACTGAGCAACAAGAGATGGGTCTAAAATCCTTAACTTTACTAGGATTCTGGATTTTAGTAATCAAGGCAATGATGGTGGAATTAAAAGCATGATGGATCTTAGACTCTTGAAAGAAATACTTGATAGCATCAACAAAGTCGTTCCCTATGACTGACCAAGAATGTTTGAAAAAGTGAGGAGTGAAACCATCAGGGCCCGGAGCTTTGTCGTTCCCTTGATTAAATAAAGCTTCTTTGATCTCATCAGTAGTAACATTTTTAATTAGATCAGTTGTAGCGTCAGTAGGCAGATGGATTTGAAGCAAGTTTCTCAAGGAAGAAGGGTCAGGAGCTAAGTATAGATTACTATCAAAGTTTAGTAGTTAAATTTAGTCTACATATTTTGATTTTAAAGGTAAATTAGATTAGTGTGTTACAAATTGATTAGTAGTGTTATTAAATTGTACTTTTTTTCATTGGTTTGTTAAGTGTATAACATATCACGTATGGTGTTTGTGAATATTAAATGAACATGTTTGTGAATGTCAAATGAATATGTTTGTGAACGTTAAACGAATTAAAACATAAACAACTCTATAGATAACAAATGAACACAAACATGATATTAAAATTTGAAATGAGCACAAACATAGTATGAACATATTAAAAAATAAACAAATGATTACAAATACGATCTTGTTCATTCTAGTTCGATTCATTTACACCTCTAGTGATGATTAAGTAAAGAAACGGATCAGGGTTAATGTAGTGGTGCAGGTGATCTGAGTTTTCTTTTTCGTTGCATTGATGGCGACTATGGTGGAGCTGGGTCAAGTGAATGGGAGTTGGGTATTGTTGTGGCATGATGGCTACCATGGAAATTCAAAGGAGTGGTCTCGGGTTTAATAAGATAGTGTTTGGGAAGAAGAAAAATTCAAGAAAATGAGGGGAAAATATACTGAAAAATGAGATAAACCATCGTTCTTATTAACACCTGAGCATTTATTACATTTACATATCCTTGAGCATATAAGTAATTGCTGCTTTAACTGAGTTCAACACCTACTAACAAATTATTAAATAAAAAAACATTTGATTCTATAAAATAATTTATAAATTATGAAAAAATAAAGTTATAACATATTAAAAAAATCAAATTTTAGTTAAATTGCTATATATTGTAATATCAAATTTTATAAAAAAATATTTTGATGAAAAAAGAGTATAAAATTAATTAAATTTTACCTCTAATGAGTTTTAATAGTCAGTAATCTCAGTTTGATGGAACCTCTTCTTCTTTCTCAGTCAATCTCATGTAAGATTGAAGAAAACCATTCTTTCTCTCTTCCTCTCGGGGAAAAGATACATTCTATAGTTCAAAAATCTACCACTCGTCATGAAATCATTAGTTGCAACTCTTCATCCAAGCTAAAAAAAAGCCTCCTATTATTACAACAATTCAAATGTTATCATCAACGATAATCTTGTTTATTATTGTTGTTTATGGGGGTAAGTAATCCCACTGGCTTCAAACTAGTGTTCCTCATTTTGTTAAAAAGGTTAAGTAATCATTTAGGGATATGGCTACTCACTCCTGGCTTGGACCCATCCCATGTTAACTGGTGTGGCGGCTGCCTAGTCTGGTCCCCTTGAGCAGTATAGCTCTTCCATTTGCTTTTGCTTCAATGAGACACTAGCCCCATCACCATTCCTTCACGCACACAGGAAGAAAAACAAAATTTTTACTTCATTCATACGCATCTCTAACAAATTTCTCTTCCAGTTCCATGTGGTTGTTAGTATAAGAGAGATTTAACTATTGCTTCGGTTCTCAGTGGAGACTGGTGATTCCATATAGATTCAATGGAAGACAGTAATGTCACTGCCTGCAATGGTGATGATGTTATACTACTGTAGAAATTCTTTCATTAATGGCATCATATGTTCTGTTGTTATATATAATTATATATGTTTGTATGCAGATATGGACACGAAGATAAACGCCATTCTTACCATCATTGTACAAGATGGAGATACATTCGCCAAGAGGGCCGAGATGTACTATCAAAAGCGACCCGAGCTCATCGAGAGGGTCGAAGAGTTGCAAAGATCGTACCGGTCGTTAGCTGAGAAGTATGACCAATTGAGATCCCAAGGACTGCAAAACTATGTTCAAGGACATGAGGAACTTAACAGAGTCCATTATTCTAATTTGCATCCCAAGTTCACTGCCGAAGACACTGATCAGGAGATCGAATTCAATCAAGATCCCTCGAATTCGATCAAGATGAAAAAGGTCGATAAGCAAAAGAACATCAAGTTCCAGCGCAATATAAGTGATGGTTCTCTACTAATGGAGAACGAGAAGCTGTGGAATGAACTGAGGTTCAAGGTCTCGGAACTGGTAGATGATAATGCAAGCCAGCAGACCGAGTTCATAAAGAGAAATGACAACGGGAAGACGCCGGAATTAAGCGATAAAGTTGGTAAGAAAACTTGGTTTCGATTATCATGGCTGAAGAGAGTGTTGTGTGGAAGGAGTATGGAATCATATGGAACTTAGGTAGCTAGATAGGTTAATTGCTTCCTTATGGATTATGATTCTTAATTTATGCTTTTCTGAGGTTTTGTTTTTATGGTTGGTGTGTTAAGACTACTACTCATATCATGATGTGACTAGGCTACTGGTGCTCAGCATTTGCATGTAGGTTTGCTTAGATAAAACTACATTGTAGGATTAATGATGGGATTATTCTCTTTTACCACCCCTCAATAAATATAGGGCTTTGTATACATATCAATGTTGTTCAATCCACGACTTTATTCTGTTTTTGGTAATGCATCGATGAGTTAACTACCAGCTACACGAAGCTGATCTCGTCAACGTTATACCATTTGACTGGGCAGCTTTTGAGGAGACAACCCGATATTAAAAAAAGTTTGGAGTTTAAATATTGATTTATTGAATTAAATATATTGAGTTGAAAGGATTATCTCATAAATATGTCTCTGCAATATCTGATTCAGATTAATTTATCAATTTATTGGATACTGATAATTAAATAAAAAATATAAAATAAATAATATTAATATATTAATCATAAAATATTTTATAACATAAATTATAAAATATATTACTATATGTTACTAACTTGGCTCGGTAGTTAAGCATTCAATTTTCCTTCCTAAAAGCCTATGCTTAATCTCACTACTTGCTATTTTCTAATTAATCTCATTGAATAGACTTAATTTAATAAAAATTAAATAATATTAATATAACAAATAAATAAAATATTTTAAATTAATTTGATAGTGTCACGTCATTATTTTAGACATATGGTATATATCATGTCTTAACTTATATACATGTGATAATGTTACATTTTTAAAATTAATCATTGGTATTCGGTTAATTGATCGACTCATCCAGTTTGGGTATTGCAGAGGCGAGAGCGACCCTCTCAACCCAGTTTGCTCCATTCACAACGTTAAAATTCGAACATCTGACCTTAATTAAGGAATTTATTGATCGACTAATGTCACGCTATCATTTTAGACATGTGATAAATATCATGTTTTTACTTGTATACATTTAACAATGTCACTTCAACACTTTGGACACATGATTTATCATATCAATAAAATATTGAGACTAAAGTGAATCAAAATAAAAGAATAATAGTCTTATGCAACCAAATATTATGGGTGAATTGTGATATTTTATCTTTAAATATTGGTGTAATTACTATCTCTTATTCAATTTAATCCTTTCTCTTAGTCTCTAGTTCTAGCTTAATTTCTATTCAATTTAATCTTTAAATCTAAATTCCTATTTAATATTGAATCTATTTAGTCATCTAACATTTAATATTAATCTCGATAATTTTAATCTTAAGAATGATAATTAATTAAATTTTAATTATTATTTAAAATTTACAATAAAACAAATGATGAAAATTTTACTAGGATTTTGTGAAATTAATCACATATAAAAGTCAGAATTTTACATAGAGTCTTATGTCTTCCTGCATACATATATGTATAATATGTTTTAATGATAGAAGAGAACATTATTTCTCAAAAAATTTGAGTACGAACAATTATGTAAATAAATTATGTATAAATTATCGATTGATTAAGAAAATTTTAAATGTATTATAATCATTCAAATTATTAAGAAAACAGAGGAAAGGAGAGTAAATAGGTTACAAGTATGGTGATGAACCATACATTATTTATCTACGATAACTGTTTCATTTCAAGTTATCTGGTGATCATTGAACCCCTTTCTGATACTCGGGCTCACAGAATTCTCCTCCCAGATCATCACAAGCCTCTCCGATGAAAACCCTGAAATCATTCATCAAGTTCCATGTATTAAAATCTACAAACTTCAACGTATCCAAATGATGATCATCAACTTACGTCTTGGGACTGTTGTACTCCAAGTATTCTCTCTCAATCTGCTCCGGCCCACTCTTTTCCTTATTGCTTTGAGCTTCTTTCTTTAGCTTAACTTCGGGGAACATCTCGACATCGCAAGCTTCTCCTCCGACGGTCTCGCATGCCTCAGCTGGAAATACACTGCAACAAAGCCACCGTCCGGTTTAAAACAAGGAGGGAAATAGATCATCAGCGTGATAACAGAAGTTTGTGGAGCGTGATATTTACGAGGCCGTGGAGCTGTAATCAACCGTCGAGTTGTCCTGTCGGACGGGCGTTGCTTTGATAACGAAACGTCTAGGAGTCTGCAATTGGAGCGTGGGTTTGCACGGCGGAGACGAAGTTTTGGTGGTTGTAACTATGGGGAGAGGTGATGAAAGTGTCAAGCTTAAGGCTGCCTGCATTTTTTGTTGCTGGGGATCTTGTGAAATGCTGGGTTTGGAGAAGTAGCAATATATATATGAAGTTGAGTTCATTGATGACATGAATATAGATAAGGTTTGATGGCAAAGATATTTTTAACATGGGAGTGGATAAGGTAACATTATCTAGTTTGAGGTGGTGATGCCTCTTGAGTTCTCCAATCACCTCATTTTCTTTGATTTTTCATATCAATATTGGTGAAAAAATCGATTTTGAAAATTTTGAGATGTATTTTTAATTGATAAATATAAAGATTTGAATCATAAAATTATCATTTTATATTATATTCCATGAGACATTGACAACGTTATATCATATGTACAGTAGTTGAATTATAAATGATTGTGCTTACAGTAAATTACATGTGCATTATGTTCAGAAAAAAATGGAAAGTTCATATTCCAGTGAGATACCAAATGTGAGACATGTTTATATACACAAATCAGCTTGAATATTATTGAATGTGTAAAATTATGACTATATGGGATTGTTACCTTAATTTACAAGATGGGAAAGTACATTAATGGTATTTGATTAGAAAAATTACAATTGTGCTATTGTTATACTCATATTGTTGTTATATTGTTAGAGATGGTTAACCACAATTATCTAATATCATAGGAGCGAATAAATCCATCAAAAGAAAATTGTGTAATTATACTTGTAGACACTCATTTTCGTCCGTATTTATATATATATATGCTAATGGTTTTTGAAATAGATATATAATATAAAGTTTTTTTAAAAGCATTTTGAAAACATATATATTATATAGTTTTTTTAAAAAAACATTTTGGAAATATATATAATATAGTTTTGGAAAACATTTTAAAAATATATATATTATATGGTTTTTAAAAACATTTTGAAAAATATATATAATATATAGTTTTTTAAAACGTTTTGAAAACTATATAATATATAATTTTGAAAATATTTTTTTAAAAATATATAATATATAGTTTTAAAATGTTATTTGAAAATATATATTATATGATTTTAAAAATATTTTTTAAAAACATATATATAGCATATGATTTTTAAAATGTTCTTTTTTATTTTATTTTTATTTATTTATTATTCATTTCTTTTTTCTTTTTGTTTCAGGTCCAAATAGGTCCACTGTCAGGGTCCAATAAGCAATCCAGAGATGGGCTTGATCCAGCCCGATAAGGTTTAGGGTTTGGAAACCCTAAAATGATATCAGTCAAAGTGTCGCATAGGAGGGAAACTGAGGGGTGCGCATAAGGCCACGCTCCAGTCAACATCAAATGACCGGCCGAGATCCCCGGGACGGACCCATACCGGGGTGACCGGTCACACAACGGCCATGATCCCTACTATTTCGGGGTCAACAACAACCATACTAGGGCTATAAAAGCCCCCAGTGAGAACAGTGAGAGAACCCACGAGAACCATCATCGATCACAAACAACGAAACACAACCACAGAACCAACAGAAAAACTAAGCATCAACAAAGAAAACTAACAACAAGATTGAAACAAACAGAGCATCAAAAAGACAACAACCAAGGCCAAAATACCAACATAAATCAACAAAAGAGAAACCCGAAGCCATTCGAACAAAAGCAAAAGAAAAACAGAAAAAATATGAAAAGTCTTTCGTAGATCTACGGGCTTTGAGGCGTTTTCAGGAAAAACGAAGCCCGTATTCATTTCCAGGGTTGAAAAACGCATCGAAAGGTGACGCCTTTTCTCTTCTCCAGCGCCGGCGGACGACAGTCGCCGCCAGTCAGCGGCGGCCGAGGCGGTGGGGCTTCGCCAGATTCTAGGTCTCTCTCTCTTATGTTTTGAGAGAATGAGAAATGAAGGAAATGGGGGCATTTTTTGGATTATATACTAACCCGTTGGGTTGGCCCGTAACCCGACCCGAGATTAAAAGATCCGCACGTTTTTGTGAGTAAAAGGGGGAAATTTCAATATTGATCCCCCTATTTTTTTTAATATTTTAATTTGCCTCTAAATTCTCTTTGAAATTTAACACCCAGTTTGTTTTTATTTCAATTTGGTCCATTCATGTTTCAATTTCTTTGTTTTATTCTTATTCTTATTTATTTATTTATTTATTATATATGTATGTTATTATTATTATTATTTCCTTTTTGTCTCTTTATATTATTTTACTTTTTTATTTCATTGTTTTGGTATTCTTTTTTTAGGATATTTATTATTTTGTTTTATTTATTTTTATTTATTTTACTTTTACTTTTTTATTTTCTTTTATCTTATTTATTTTATTTATTTATTTGTTGTTTTTTCCTTTTTTATTTATTATCATTTTTTTCCTTTTCATTCTTATGTTTTATTCATTTCCCCCCTAACATTTTTAACCTTTTTTTAAAGTTCAACCGATCAAAGGTAAGCAATTCGAATCGGATTTTAAATTTAAATTTAAATTCTTAATTTTCGCAAATAAAGACAACCAACAAATTAATTGGTACCGAAATGGTGGTTCAAGGATGCTAATCCTTCCTTGGCCGTAACCGACTCCCGAACTCGACACATTTTTGGTAAAACGCAAATCAGGTAAGATGGTGTCCGATCCACCTAAATATCGTTTTAAAGTGATAGATGGCGACTCTAACCCAATTATTCAAGTCAAAGCCCAATTTCGGGCCCAACCGAAAGATGATCGCGATAGCTTGGCGACTTTGATGGGGACAGGTAAGTGAGTCAGGCTGAAATTAATTTACGGTTGTCTTTTTGAGCGAAAATTACAAATTTAAGTTTTAATTTATTTATTCAATTCTAATTATTTATCTTTGATTATTTTTCAAATAAATAGTTGTACTGACGTTTTTTCAATGATTTCAGATTTTCAAAATTTTCATATCAGGCTCTATACCTGAGCTCTGAACCCTTTTAAGTGGGGGTGAAAGCGACGCCTTCGTGAGAATTTATTCTCCGTGCGGGCCTAACAAGTAACCTTCGGGATTTATATACCTTATGTCTTCGTGTGAATTTATTCACCGTGCGGGCATAAGGGAATGTATCCTCTCGAGTTTAACTTAGTCTACATGAGCTTATAATCAGCTTAGGACTAAGGGTCTGGCAAGCCCAAGGGGGCACCAGTAAGGAGAACTCGAGGACCTTTTTAGAACCTAAACCGGGAGACTGCAGGGAATTAGAGCCCACCCCAAAACCTCATTTCAAACCCTAGGCTATTTTGATTATATCCTGCTTTATTTTATGTTCAAAGCATGTGAACTAGAAATTTATGCGGTTATGACTTGTTCAAAATCAACTTACGAGATAGAAATCATGTCCGGGTAGGAATAAAAAGCATGTAGGATAGATATCATGTGGGGTAGGACTTTTTATTTTCATGATTGTTTTTTATTATTTTCACCTCACCAACTCTTTTCATTTTTGTTCTCTTTTATTTTATTTTCATCATTTGCATCATTCATTCAAAAGAGGTGTTGATCCACCAAAAATGTTTTCGTTAAACGTAAATAATCTATATTAATTGATAAATGGGTTATAATACAAAGAAATGAAAAGCTCAGAAGTCCAGCTATAGTCAAAGAATACTCAGGATGGACCAGGGTTTACACCGAGCACACTAAAAGTCAACTTTTTGAGTTGGCAAGGGTTGCAGGGGCAAGACGATAAAAGGTTACTGACTTGAGGGGTCCCTTCAAAGACAACAATAACAAGATGGCGGAACCCTAGTTGAGTCGGAGGCCATTATTAACAAATTCAAGAAACACACAGCTAGACTTCGGATAATTCTTATCGATTGAGGGCTCCAATGGCGCTTCGTTAGGAACATTCTCAGCAGAGAGTGAAAGCCGAAGATGCAGTCATTCGAGACTTTTTTGGGGCAAGCAGCTCGTCACTTGCATAGTTCAGCTAAAGGAGCCGGAACGGTTCGACAGGGTATTCAACCGGTGACAGAAAAAAGACGGAAGACGAATCAACTTTTCAGAGGCAGTTCGGGATCTATACCATCAAAATGTTTTTTCTCTTAAAATCGTAACACTTTTGTCCCCAATAAGGATTTTTTTATAATAACAAACACATTTTTTGGATCAATACCTCGAACATTGCATGCATTATGCATTTAAACATATTTTTCATTTTGTTATTTTCATTTCTTTACATTCGCATTATTTTTCTCTTTCTTATTACATTCACATGTCTCATAAAAAATGGGAACATTTCGATCCTATTCCTATGACTTACAAGGAACTTTACCAACAACTTTTTGACACTCACGTAGTGTCGCCATACCCGATGGAACCCATGAAGCCCCATACCCCAGGCGGTATGATGAGAACGCTCATTGCAAATATCAGGGCGGTGTCCCAAGGCACACTATCAAGAACTGCTTCACATTCAAGAGAATCACGCAGAAGATGCGTAACAAGAACTGGATCAACTTCAACAACTTGATGGTATCGAAGTGAGGAAGATCATTTCATCATTTGAGACATTTTGTTTGAATTTGTTTTTTTTCATCTTTTCTCAAGTTTTTGTGAGAATATTTATTTATGTTACTTTAAAAACGACGAGCAATGAATCAAATTTGCAGACTTGAAATTCTTTGAATATCACTGAATTAAAAACTCTGTAAATGATTGGATTTATAGATATTTGATAAAGTGATACGATTAAAAAGTGGTAAAACAAGGGCTTTGACCTTATCTCGAATGATACGTTCGAACACCATACCCTTCTCTTACAAATAACCAATATAGCCTTCTCCTCTCATAAGAGAATAAAAAAGAGGCTTGGTATTTAGATGTACATAGGTGCAGACAACATGGGGCATCTGTTGCATATTACAATTACTATACTTTTTGTTTAAGATGTTCAGTGATGATAATGATCTTCACAGATGGAATAGTTGAGTAATCAAATCTAGTTTAGGTTAGTTGTTTGGAAATTGAACTCTAAAGATGAGATTCATTGACTTTCAAAAACACCTAGACTATAATAGGTTCTTTTTGACAAACTTAAGAAATTGGACCCGTATACCCAGATTATAATATTATATATAT